TGCTAGGTCGGGCCCGCCGGTGTCCCGCGCCGGTCCTGGCCGGCAGGTGTGGATCCCCCAGTTCGGGAAGCCTGTGACTCGAGAGAAGCCACGCCCCTTCCTGCACCTGTTTCTCACTGTTCCTTCCAGAGGCTTGCGCCTCTAACAGCAATAAAATTCTGGTCTGTAACAGACATGTATGAAGTGCCTCCCAGGCCCAGGACTCTTCTTCAGCGTCTGTGTGTGTGCCTCTCCCCTCCCACACACCCGCGGGCTTCCCACCTGCTGGGCAAGCCCCTGCCAGCAGCCTTCCCCCCTCACGGCAGCCCCTACCACCAGTCCTTAAGTCCTCGGAGTCTGGTTGAAATGTTTAATTAAAAAAGTAGAGCGAGACGAAGAAAGATTTCTGGATAGAAATATAAATAACTCAGCTCTGGGGACCCCCTCATTCCCACCCCCATCCCAGGGCCTGATTGCCCTTCACATTAAAAACAGAAACGACAAAGTACTAGACCGTACCCCATCCCAGAGGTCACTCTTGTCTGTCATAATCTCCTGCCATCTTGGGGCACACATTCCGTGGAGAAACCATGCAGGTAAGGCACCCTAATCATTCTCCCAAACCTGAGCCGGGCCCCTTAGTGCCCTGGGGGAGAGAGAGCCTAGGGCTTCATTGTTCTCTCCAAGCCTTTACTGGTTCTTGGTCTTGGCTTTGACCTTGGGCCTGATGTAGGTGTGGCGGAAGAAGTGGACAAAGAGGATGAAGTAGCTGGTGTACAAGACCAAGGACCAGAAGAAGTGCTCCTCTGTGTTGTGGCATCCCTGTTCCTGCCTCCAGATGTAGGTCAGAATGCCGAAGATGGCACCTACAAACATCTGCAGGATCTGCAGGCTGGTGATGAGCATGGCAAGCACCCTGGGGGGCTTCATGTTGGCAGCCTTCAGGGTATAGTAGGTGTACATGATGGCATGCACGCCAAAGTTCATGGTCATGAACCAGCCGCCCGCGGGCACTCGGTTCTTGTACCCGAAGCTTGTGTACACCAGCACGGTGCTGTGGTGGTACCAGTGCACAAAGATGAGAGGCCGCTTACGCAGGATGATGAAGGCCGTGTCTCCTGGGAGTCGGAAAGGCACGGCTGGCACAATGCCCGGGGCCGGGACCACCCTCCACACGGGCAGAAATCCTCAGGGCAGGGAGGGGGCCTTTGTGGCAGAGAATCTGAAGCCGGGCTCGGGTGAGAGGTGCTATCAGGACCCGGGGTGGGGAGGGACCCCGTGTTCCTTGTGACGGGCGAGGGGAGGGCCCTGGAGGAGGGCGCAGTTCCCTGGGCACCAGAGAGACAAAGCCTTGACACTCACCGAGTTCGATGACCTTGCTGAGAAGAAAGATGCAGGACCAGAACTGGATTATGGACTGGTTGATGTGGTTGGCGAAGCACACGGTGGGCTTTAAGCCCCCGCTGAGGAGCACAGCCCCCATGTAGCCCCACGTCCTCACTGCCCCCACGATACTGAAACGGGACGGAGGAGGAGAGTGTGAGCGCCATCCCCAGGCACCAAGCCCCGTCCCCCTGGCCTGGCCAAGTCACTAGGTCCCAAGCTCCACCACCTCCCCACCCTTCTAGGCACGACTTCTAAAACCTTGGGGCCAAACCAGCAGATTCCAATCAGCAGTCTACAGGAGACAGGGGCTGGGGAAAGACCAGGGAGTGCAGGGGGTGGGGCTCTTGGGGTGGGGTAGGAGCCTGGGAGGATGCTGGAAGGGTAGGGAAGATGGAAGGGGCTGGGAGGGAAAACGCAGGAAGGGACAGGATGGTGGCTCATGCCTGGAATCCCAGCACATTGGGAGGCCAAGGCAGCAGGATTGCTTGAGCCCAGGAGTTCCGAGACCAGCCTGGGCAACAAAGTGAGACCTTATGTCTACAAAAAACTTTTTTAAAGCAGCCAGGCATGATGGCACACGCCTCTAGAGCCAGCTGCTTGAACAGCCCAGGCGGAAGGATCACCTGAGCCCAGGAGACGGAGGCTGCGGTGAGCCGTGATCATGCATTGCCCTCCAGCCTGGGTGACAGAGTGAGACCCCACCACACACACGCAGGAAAAAAAGTGGGAAGGAGGCAGTTACCAGAAGGTCCCGGGAAAGGGTCTAGGAGCTGAGAGCATCAGAGGCTGGAGAAGCCTGTTGGAAGTACAGACCCCATGAGCCGGAGAGCAGTGAGGACAGCCCGGCCGGGACCGCCAGGCTGGGGTCTAGGAAAGAAGGAAAGCGGGCCACACGGAGCGGGTGGCGGCTGAGGGAGGCCGCGGCGGGCTTGCCGGCAGCCCGAGGGCTTCAGGGCTGGGGCGGAGCGCTAAGGCCCAGAGCCCGGGCGGGGGGCGGGGGGCGGGGGGCGCGGCCTACCTGAAGACGGCGAGGCCGGCCGACCAGAGGATGAGAGGCCCCTGCAGGCGGAAGCCCGTGCGCGCCTCCATGTAGCGCCGTCCCGCGAAGATGAACAGCAGGTACGCGAG